GAGTGGAGTGTACGACAGTAGCGCGATTATAAATTGCAAATTATTGGCATGCGCTTTGAAAGGTGTTATATATGATGCATGTAAATAATAGTTTCCATCATGAATAAAATTTAAAAAAAGTGAATACTATGTCTTTGTTATTTCTCGCTAAAACAATTGCAATTCTGCAACTTTCCGTCTTGCTAGAAACTGCAACTTTGCGCATACTACTGTGATCAAATTAAAAGGTGAATTTTTTATTTAAATTTCCCGGGTTATTTTAATGGTCGCCTTTGGGGATCAAACTCTGTCTTCAAAGAATGTTTATAAGTGGTAAAACGCGTTCAAGTCCGGCCGTGAGCGTGTTGAGAAGAATGTGGTGTCGAATCGGCCAAAAACATCGACTGATGAACATCACGTCCAGCAAGTTAAACAATTGGTGCTTGAAAATCGTCGATTGACCATTAGAGACCTTACGGATAGTTTGGGCATATCATTTGGATCGGTGCAGGCGATTTTGAGTGACCAATTGGGCTTGAAAAGAGTCAAATCTCGATTGGTGCCAAAAACGCTCAATTTTTTCGAGAAAGAGCGCCGTGTTAGCATCTGTGAAACGATGCTTTCTGACTATCAGGACGTGATTAAACGCATCATATCTGGAGATGAGACTTGGATCTACGCTTACGACCCCGAAACAGCCGACCAATCGAGTGAATATCGTGTAAAAGGCGAGCCCAAACCGAAAAAACCACGTCAAAATCGCTCAAAAATCAAAGTCATGTTGACGGTTTTCTTCGATTATCGTGGTGTTGTGCACTCGGAATTCCTTCCGCCGGGTCAAACCGTCAACAAGGTGTATTATTTGAGTGTTATGCGTCGTTTGCGTGAAGCTATTCGCAAAAACAGGTCGGATTTATGGAAAGACAACTCGTGGTTTTTGCATCACGATAATGCGCCATCTCACACAGCACTAATTCTTCGCGAGCATTTCGCCAAAAATTCAACAAATATCGTTCCACAACCACCGTATTCACCTGATCTGGCCCCGTGTGACTTCTGACTATTCAGTAAACTCAAGAGACCGCTCCGGGGACACCGTTTTGACTCGATTGAGGAGATAAAAGCCAAATCGCAGAAATCTCAAAAGGCCATTCCAAAGAAGGACTTTTCGGACTGTTTCGATGAGTGGAAAATTCGTTGGCATAAGTGTATAGCCGCGGAAGGGGATTACTTTGAAGGCGATGATATGGATTTGAAAGAATAAATAAAAATTTTCGAAATATAAAAAAATTCACCTTTTAATTTGATCACAAAGCGTATTTTTTGATGTGACAAAATCGATGATATTTGATATCCGACAGAAGTACAGTTTGCTGGATTTATGAGTCATATGTAACAATTGCGCAATCGTTATTTTCTACTACGCAGTTAGCCATTTGTGCTGACACCAGCATTTTTTAACTTTAAACAACTGCAACTCTGCAACTTTACGCGGTGTATAATGTTACATACCGCGGCACATGTCGAAAGACATGTGCACCAATACATAGTTGCTGTTTGTTCATATATATAACAACATATATTTCTTGGAGTCGCCATAGTGTTGCGCAACATTAAAAAATGCTACTTTGC